TGTGGGTGTGGGTGTGGGTGTGGGTGTGGGTGTGGGTGTGGGTGTGGTTGTCGATGAGAAAAGGACCCACAACCAACACCCACACCCACCCATCCATACCCCACTCACATCCATGTCACTCACACCCAGGCCCACATTCACGCTCCACACGCTCATATTTTCATCACTTTTTCCCCGAATACGAATTACATTATTGCTTTTTATCATTATTTGTCATTCGATCGCGAGATATCAGTCTTTGGGTCTTGGAGTTTAAAGTCCATTTTCCATGGAATTTATTCCAGGTTCAGACAAAAAGCATGTGAATCGTCTCAGCTGTCATATATGCTTGGAGAAGAAAGGGTGATATATAAATAGTTCGAGTATATTTCGTTTTATTATAACAACAAAATAACAGAAATGAAACTGGTTATTATTTTTCTTACAGTGGCTATTAAGTGTCTCGTCTTTGGTGACTCTCAGGAAAAATGGTACAAAGACCAAATCGAAACGTATATTCTTCCATATTATAATCAAGCATATAATATTCTTCAAACTGGTGTGCTCAATGAGCTTCTTGCTGTGAATGTTGCTTCGCTCGATGATACTGCCGTCAGTCAATTGGTTAATCGTTTATACTGTGGTGTGCAAAGGGCTTATGCTTTACTTCAACAATCTGTATTATCTAGTGAAAACCTTCAAGTCGAAGTTAATAATCGACTCACATTAAATGTAGCTCAAGCAGGTGCATACGAAGAAAATATTAGAGGTAAAGAGACTGAAGTGCTTCAGACAAATCAAGCACTTAGTAATGCATTAAGCCAATTGACATTGGCCGAACATGCTGTCATTGAAAAGCAAAACGCTGTTGCTAATGCTGATCAGGCAGTCCGTGATGCCGAAGAAGCTGTTGAAAAGGCAAGAAAATGTCGAGGAAAGCGAAGCTGGTTCAGCAAAATAACCCGTCCTATTGTTCGACCGATCGAGAATCTTGTCAAAGATGTTATTATCAAACCTGTATGTTCAGTGATCAACGAAGGGGGTATCGACAATGCGAAAAATCGGAGAGGTTACGCTTATGATCAGTTAACAAGTGCTCAGAACCAAGAACGCCACTCCCGTCAAGTTGTCGTCGAAACACAAATAATGAAAGCTAACTTGGAGGCGCAACTCGATCAATTACGATCTTCATTGGCCAATGTTCAAGCAGCACTTAAAACATTACGTAGTGAACTTGTCGTGACAACTAATATTAATCAAGAGGTTGACAAAGTATTTATTTTAAAAAAAAAGTATCTTTTTCTGTTTCTGCTTAGTTGAAACAAGTGACTACTCAACTCAGTAACGTCTTTATAGGCTCATCAGTTCTTCAAAATACTATAGCTCATTTAATTGATTTTGAATTACTTATTAATCCACTCAATGCTGTTTATGATGCAATTCACCAAATTACTGCTCTTGGCGCAACAACAAGTATTAGTCAAAGTCAAGTTCAACAGACGAAGACAAGTATGGCGCAAATTAATCTCCTTGTAGCCAATATGCCATTCAATTTGAACACTATTGTCACTTGCTAAATCATCTCTTTTTTTCTGCTCTTATTTTAAATTTTTACCAGATCACAGAAAAATAAGACAAAAGAAGTGTCGGAAATGATATTTCATTTAATTTAATCTTCTAGATGAAAAAACAGATGAAACTCTTCTTTATCGATATCTACCTTCTGATGGTGGTTGGTACTAATAATGGTGAATCAAGCATTATAGCGCCATCTCTCGCACGATCTATGTTTCTTCCTGCTGATCCAAGTCAAAATCCTTTCTTTGATTTGGAGATTGAGTTTCTTTCACAATGGTCTAGTGTGGCTTCCTTGAGTAGTGATAGTCGATCTCTTATATCGGGTGGATCCAGTAAGTTTTCGCAATTTTCTTTCTTTCTAATATGAATACTATAATTTAAGATTTGGAAAGCGACCTTCAACAAGCGCAACGAGATGATCAACTTGAAGCGCAAGGTGATATTGATCTTTTTACTTTTATCGGTTTACTTGGTAATGGTCCTACAACAATTAACTTCCTTGGTCAGATTATGGTTATTTCAAGTAAAAAAGATTTTTCTTTTCGAGCTAGTATGCCTAATGCAACATTTTCTTATGTTAAATATCCTGATTCATTTCGAGCCACACTTATTCAATTAACTAATGAAGCTTACAACACTTTTCTGTCTGCTCATTCGAACATGAATGAAATACAGTTAAATATGCAACAAATACCAGGTCATGTCAAAACAGCATTAAAACTTTTAGCAACTGCACCATTTCCACTACTGGAAAAACTTTTACCTTTGTCATTGAATAATATTGAACGAATTGGCATGGAATGTTCAAATCTATCATCCATAACACATAACAAATTTGCCGATGTACAATTGTTAATCGGTGAGTATGCAAAAGATGATTCAGAACAACAGTTCTTCTTTTTTTCACCATATAAATTTTCCAACAACAATTTTAAATATAGAATAATGTTTTATTCATGTATTTGGATCAATTTCTATAGCTCTTATTACATTAGAATATAAAACTTTATGTAAAAAAGGGTGTTCAGTATGGCCGTTAATTCTTTCATTTCGATTAATTAATAAGTAAATTGAAAAAAATAAAAAAATTTTCTAAACATAAAGGTGAAATCAATGAACTGACTGGTTATTCATCTGGTGTCACTGATCAAAGATTAACCGAAACAATAATTGAATTAAATAAAACTGAAGCGGCAAAGAATTCATTGAAAGATAAAGAAGCTGCTATTAAACAACGCTATGAAGAACAAGCTGCCAGAGTTCGAGAAGCTCAACGCGAGTTCAATAAAGCTTTGGATAAAATCCCGTCAGGATTCAATGCAATTGTTCAACAAGCTTTCGGTGCTGTAGTCGACACTTTCAAGGTTGCTATGGCATCTAAATATTGTGTGGGTGGTTTAGTAAAAAACTGTATGCCTGGTCCAATTGGATCAACTGCTGAAAGTGCTAAGGAAGGCGCACTTCAGCGCGCAAATTTGGCACTTAGTGCTTTACAACTAGCTGAAGAGCAGTATCAGAAAACTTTCGTTGAAATGATGGATCATTATGATAATATGAAAGAAATTATGGTTGAGTTAGCTTCACTCGATATGACCAAAATTGACTTTGAACAACTCATTCCCATCTTTCAAAATGCTATCAAATATCTGAGCGAAATTAGGGTACATTGGGGTAGACTGATTGGTTTTTTCGACACTTTACGAATTCGAGTCCAGGTATGAATAAATAAATTAGGCGAAAATTACCTTGTTTTCTGTTGGTTTTCTATGAACATGATTGTATTTTATGTAGATTGTTGTGAAAAATTCATTTACAAAATTTGTTGAGTGGATGAAGACAGCTCAAGGGATGGGCAATGATTTCCTTACTCAAGAAATTCGTGCGTATTACTTAGATATGTTGAAAGAGGATGTTGTTGGAATTCATCGTGAAGCTCATCTTCTTTACATCATGTCAAAAACTTATTATGATGTATCAACAGAAAACATGATGGATCAATTAGCTGGTCTTGCAAAAATGGTTGTTGCATCGTCGGACGATGAACGAAATCAACTTAAAAATGAACTTATGCAAGATACAAAAGTGGTACAAGACAAAGTCCGTCGCTTAGCACTTCAGCGTAAAAATGAATATGAATTAGCCAATGAGCAACGTCAACAAGAAATAGAACAGTATATTCAACAGATATCTCTTGAAGCACTTGGAGTGGGTATAGGACGTCGTCGAAGAAGTGAACACTTGTTTTTAGCGTAAAAAAATCGTCAACTGAATAAACTTTGCAATAAGATGTGCAAAAATATACCTCAAATCAATTATTATGATAACCGATGTTAGAAATAATGAAAGATCAAAGCATTGCTAATTTATATGTAAATAACATAGAGATGATTAAGATTAATGATGCTCTTTTTTAGTTTAAAATTCAACCATACATACAGAGCATTTCTTGGCATTACGATATTTTAACAGAGTTCATATCAAATCGAAAACGTGCATTCAACTTGCTTAATATTTATAGTATCTCTTGCCGTACGATGTTTTGATCTTAAGTAGTACAGTTATGAAAGAAAAAAAATCGAAGAAAAATAGTTTAAAAGTTTACTGAACTTGTTTTATTTTGCGAGAAAATATTTACATATCAATATTACATTGAATTATTAACAATGTAGTGTTGAGTAAGATAGCATGAATTTTGCAGTACTAACTTTCATAGTCGACTTTCGGCAATTTTCGAAAGTTTTGTAATAGGTCGTTGACATCATCTTTTAATTAAATAAACTGAGGATAAGAATTTTTCGACTTTCTGTGGTTCAGTTAGAGAAGTATGTGGCCAAAAGTGCTTGCCATGGAGGGTGCTTGATCAGCAATCTATTGACGAAGAAATATATGTTAGCGGTGGTCGCTGGGGATTGGAAAGAGATTAGTTTAATGTTCTAACAGAACTTTAAAGCAAAATGTTTTCTAGACTTTGTTTATATGATCAAAGTGTACATGTACATTTTGTTTTCACGTGCAACATGGGACAGCGTATGCAAAAACAGAGATTTATAAAATGTAAAGAAATGGAAAATAAGATAATATTCATATCGTTTGAAACACTCTAAGCAGAAACTACCATGATTCACGATTCATGAGGTCCTGTAGATTTATCGTCCGTTGGGGCCAACCACTGTACGGATTAGTTTCTTCCATATCCGTCGGCCTTGCGCTAGGTGGAACAGGTCTCGTTCGCTGCGTACACGCCAGTCTTTAATGTCGTCTAACCATTCTCTACATGGACGTCCTCATCGGGGTTTTCCGTCTATTTTTGTGAATAATGTGTGTTGTATCAGCCTGTTATCGTTTATTTTACAGATGTAGCCGAACTGTCTTAATTTCCTTTTCTTGATTATGTCTACTATAGTTTCTTCTTTCGACATCCTCTTTCGTATATCCTCATTTCTTATCATGTCTTTCCAACTGATTCTTAGTACCCTTCGGTAGCATTTCATTTCGAACGCGAATAGCTTTCTTTTGTCAGACTCTTTTAGGGTTCATATTTCTGAGGCGTATAGTAGTACACTGAAGACACACATTGTTAGGATCTTGAGTTTGTTCTATATTGTTAGTTCCTTGCCATTCCATATGTGTATCAGGGACGGTATTGCTCCAGTTGATTTGCCTATTCTTCTTCTTATTCCTTCTAAGCAGCTATTGTCCCATGTTATTAGGCTTCCCAGATATTCGAACTTGCCCACATTTTCTATAGTTTTCCCTGCTATTTGTATTGCTTGCTCTATGCTTCTTTCGCCGAACACCATTGTCTTTGTTTTGGCTGTGTTCACGACTAACCGGCGCTAGGACTGAATGTCGCAAGACAAAATGTCGCGGACAAAATGTTGCGGACAAAATGTCGCATGGACAAAATGTCGCAGGACAAAATGTTGCAAGACAAAATGTCGCGGACATATCGTTGCGGACAAAATGTTGCGGACAAATTGTTGTGGACAAAATGTTGCATGGACAAATAGTTGCAAGGACAAAATGTTGCATGGACAAAATGTTGCAAGGACAAAACGTTGCAAAAAAAACGTCGCATGGACAAATGGTTGCGAGGACAAAATGTTGCGTGGACAAAATGTTGCAAAAGAAAATGTCGCATGAACAAATGGTTTCACGGAACAAAATGTTGTATGGACAAAATTGTGCATGAATCCTTCGTTGGGAACGTAGAGCTCCTCATGACTAGCAATGTAAAACAGATAAGTAGATATAATCTCTTCTTTACATTAATACCATAAGGTGTGGGTGTGGGTCAAGTGGCTGTATTTTTTTCCTTAAGCCCCGTCCCCCCTCAAAAAAGTCACTTTTCGTCAGAATCATGGAAATTGAGATAAATATATAGGGGTATAGCCTGTCATTTGCCCTTCTATAAACGATAAAAATTTTTCTTCGGTACCCCCTTTTTTCTCAAAAATTTTAAAGATTTTTGACAACCCCCATTCGAAAAACCAGTGGTTTTTGAAAAAATCGAAAATTTTTTTTCTTTTTATCTCAAAGTTGTAGACGAACGACGCGTCACCACGAAAAGTCAACTATAATGCGATATAAAGTCAAATATTTTTTTTTTGTTTGAAAGAGCATCAAAAACTGCAGCGCCTATGAGGG